CGAAACACGCACGCCAACTGTCATTGGCTTGTTTAGTTAACACTCGAAGGTGATTGGGCTCTCGGGCGAGATCCCAATCCGTCAGTCACGACTGACGTAACGTCTCCGTTCCCTCCTTCAGGGAACGAGGGTTACACAAGTAACCCGAGACGTTTTCCATCACAGTGACTGTGTTTCCAACATTTTCTTGGAATTTTTTTGACTGTACTAAAGCACAAAATACATTTTTTATTTCTTGACTGTACTAAAGCACAAAAATGCCATGTTTACACTTATTTAGAAAACATAAGTAGTAGTGTTTCTCTGAAAAACAATGCTACAGACAGTTATTCTACTTTGAAATGTGTGTTCTGTGTCTGAATGTCTGTTTTTGTTTTGGTTTGTGTGGTTCCGCCCACTGCCAGTTTAACCAATAGTTTTTCAACACCCCGGCTTGCCAGTTGGCGAAAAAAATAACTTATTGCAGCCATGGAACTGGGTCAGAGATCGCAGATTCTAACCGACCTAAAAGCCTTGGCATCCATCTAAAAAGCTCAGAGACATAATAAAACGCGGATAAATCAACTCATCAACTTTCAGTTTAAGGCTTGTCGCCATCCATTGTCAGTTGTGCTGGTTCCTGTTGCATGTCCGTAATCTGGCAACCCGCGTGAGTGTTGAGTCTGAAAAGAATGGGCAGGAGAAACAACGCTCTCCAGTATTCTGAATTTAGACTGCAGTACCCATTTCAACCGGGTTACATACTGCACCCTTAATTGATTAACTGTAGATACCAGTAGGCGCGTTTCCATTACCCTTCAAATTGCGCAAATTGAAATTGCGAATTGAAAATACGCCTAATGGAAACTCGTCAATTTTGCAAAAACGGCCATATATCGCAAAAAAGTTTTTACGCTCGCATGAGGTGGTTTTTCAGGGAATGCGAAAAAGGAATAATTCACAAAGCTGCAATGGAAACGGCTTTTTCGCATTTACAGGTCACATGGCGTATGTAAAAAGTCATATGATTATTCATCAGTGTAATATAACCTCCAAGAAACACTTCATAAGTGGCCGCGCTCCAATATAAGGGGCTTCCCTACTATTAATGCTTAGACAGTTTACACTGCACACGTCTGCGGTGCAGTGTGGCTCTGATACGGTCACTCGCCAAAGTTTTGCGCAAATCTGTAATGGAAACGCGCCTAGTGACTACAGTGTGCTGTGTATGTTCAAAAAGACAAAAGTGTTGGATAATGTGTCACTTTAGCATTTTAATGTGTAATCTTCCATACTGGACTGTCAAAATCATGCTAAACCGTGTTGTGTGTGCTGTCAGGGAGAATGTTCTAGTGCTGGACGTGTTCTTTGAGGCTCTGAACTATGAAACCATTGAGCAAAGGAAAGCCTATGAGGTGGCTGGTCTGTTGGGTAAGTAAAAACTATATAGCCTACAGTATGTTATACAGTAAATATTATTGTGATTTAAAGGGGTCATATGATGCGATTTCAAGTTTTCCTTTCTCTTTGGAGTGTTA